ACAGACAATCAAATCAGACAGTTCTTGACTTTCTGAAACTGAGACCCACAGATTTCTTCCTTTTTGAGAACAAGAACATCTTCTAAGATTTGACCTCATTTTTGATGGAGGCGATAACAAACAAAAGCAAACATTTAGTTAAAAATAAAAGATCCTGACATGCTCTAGAGAAGTGCTACCAACATGATGGCAAATCATTTCACTTCTTTTGCCTTCTAATTTGAAACCTACAAATTGGCAAAGCTGTTGCTTAAGACATCTTTCCATGTAAATTGCTTTAAAGTAGCTACATGTAGAGATTCACAGAAAGAATAAATAGTAATTATCGTTGCAGACAGCTCAAGCTGAAGAGAACTCTGCACTTCACAGCAGCAATTAAAGAAAGCAAACTTGGTAAGATGGATAATGAACAGGATATAAAGCACACAAGTATCACATTGGAAATCAATGGACCACTCTCTTAAGATTTGATCCTAAAAAGGATGAAGAAACAGAGAGTGTTCAGAAACAGTGAGAATTATTAGGTGTATGGCATATAGAAAACTGTTTTACAAAGAGACATTATGAGATCAAGAATGAGTAATTTGGGAAGCTGATTCATACAAGCTGCCCATTTAAACGTATATCACAGAGAACCATAGAATAATTTAGGTTGAAAGGATCTTTGGAATAATCGCTCAAGACCCATATTCAATCAGGGTCAGCTAAAGCAGGTTTCCCAGAAGCACATCCAGTCAGGTTTTAAATATGTCCACAGAAGGAGACTCCACAACCTCTTCAGGTAACCTGTTCCAGTGTTTGACAAACGTCATTGTAAAAAACAGAGGGGAGGAGTGAGAGAAAGATGTATATAAATAGATAGACATAGGTAGATATATATATAGATATAGCTATATAGATACATACACATCTAATATATCTATTCATCCTTCAGTCCCACGCGAATAGGAATGGTATGTGTGGGCAGGCAAGATGAAAATAAATTTATGTAATAATTCCTACTTACTGAATCTTTGTTTCTTCCTGCTATTTTATATGTGAAATCAGGCAAAGAGGTTATCAGAGCCTGTGGGTTTGCTAAGAATTTACTTTCAAGTTCCAGTACCTATAAAGAAATATGAATTGGTTGAGGTGTGTATTAACTACATGAAAATGTGATTGCTTGTTTAACTAATTCTCGAAAGATAACTGAGGTCAGAAGCTTAGTAGGACACTAAGTAAAGTAATTGCTGATGTTCTTATTTTAAATGGACATTTAAACTTATAAAGAATATGTCTTTCAGAATCATATGTAGAATGTTTTTCTGTTAAGTATGAAAATATTTTTAAGGAATACTTCCAAAGATAGGAATATTTTAACGCTAAAGCAGATTTCTCTGTAACCAATTATTGAATGATTTCAAAATCTTTCCCTAAAATATCAGCTACACTTTAGGACCAGAGATTTGCCACTGTACCGTGAAAATGCTGTCTCTGCTCTGTTGTAGTCATTCCTGGGTAAGCACAAACATTACTGGATTTTTCCAGAAAAATGTTTTGAAAATTTTAACATTTCTCTTGATTTCTGCCTGTAAATAGTAATTTTAAAAATATAATTGTAAATTTTACATAATGTGAGAAATATCCCATGTCCACCTACCAGCATGTTTTCTCACTAAATGACATAGAATGGTTTACCAAATAATACAAGGAAAGTGTGCTTTTTTCCAGAATATTTAAAAAGAAAATTTTACAAATCCTTTTCCTTTTTTGGTTTAGGTTTCTTAGCTATCCAAATTTATCTGGCCAAAATTAATCTTTGCAGCCCCTTCTATTATACCCATGTTCTATTCTGATCCCAGAGAAGTGAACATTTCTCAGAAAACAAATGCTTTGTTTACAGTGCAGAAAAATAGGAAAGTATCTTGGGGCATTTCCTGTATATTAATTATAGCCCTGGTTGGTTTCCAGGAACAACTGTTTTAGAAAACTGCCTGTGGAAAGCAACATTGATGAAAGAATTTGTATTGAAAATACTTATTAAAAAAAATCAGATGGATTACTTTCAGACAGAAAATAGAGTAGTGGATGCAGGATTTAGACATAATAGTCATGGAGAAAAAAGAAGGAAATAAGCAAGTCAAACACTTGAGACATCTTTAGTGACATAGCAGGAGATATATAGACGTAAAACGTATACATAGACACACACAAACACACACACACACATCCTTCCACTTGTTTTATTCTCTGGGCATTGATTATTATCTTGTCAAACATTACCTGCAAATCTAATACAACATATTGAGTACTAACCTATCCTCTGGTACAGAACTGTGCTACGTGACTTGGTCACATATTAAAACTTTTCCAGAGCAGCTTCAATTTTTACATCTGTCTCAGATTTTCAGTATGATGTTTGAGTCTGATTTCAAAAAAATTGAATATTCTTATCCATAGCTGGAGAGGACAGCAGCTGCAGAACCCTAGAGGTGGATGAGAAGTAGACTTTTATTGGGCATCAAACACAGGCTGAGAAAGAAGAGCTTCTTGACCCACTGTGCCACGGTACTTGAGGAGTGCATGCAAAAACCACTGAGTTATCAGCTGATATTTACGAATTACGGATTATGTGGCATAGCTAGACATAAGAAAGATTTAGCTCCACCACACTCAGAAATTGCTCTTAAAACATCGAATCAACTATTCTTCCCTAATGTAATCATCAGGTTAACTGGGAAAGGTTATCCCTTTAAAGTGCTTCCCATTACAACAACCACTAAAATATTCATCTCCTTTGATACCACACTGTTTATTAAAATAGTGGTTCCCTGGTTTGCAAAGGGATTTGTACAAGTTGCAGTTTCCAGCATAAAGCTATGAGACCCATTTAAACTCTGTCTTGACTGTTGTATGTTCTTGTGCAAAAGAAAATGGCATGATCTTGCCATGTCAAGGTAGACATAAAACCACAGACTTGCCCAGAAGCTGCAGAGTGTAGTGCGAAAGGATTACTGACACTGTCCCATAGGCTCTTTCTGAAGAACTCAAACATTTTATGCTTCACTCATGATTGTTCAAGACTTTTTTCTGGGATTCAGAATAACAATTAGCTTTCATTTTAGGAAAAATTCCCAGTCTCTCACAACTGCTGGTTTCAACATTGCTGGATTAACACCATTGTTGCAAGACAGTTGCAGTCCATGAAACCTCTGGTGACAGAAGGACCACAAGGATGGTGGTTTACCATAGTCAGCTCTGCTGCAGTAGCATGCACCTAGCCTGTAGGTGCTTATTTTCTGTAACTCACAGTTTACAATGGAAGTACCAAGTTCCCAATTGTTCAGTTTGCTTTTTGTCTAAACAGTTAAGAACAGAGTACTTTTAATCACCTTATACAAGTAAAAAATTATGGCCATCTTTTGTTCTGTTTTCACTTCCATCCTATGAAAAAAAAAGTCTTGTCTGCTTCTTTGAGGGAGGATGAAAAGGCATTTTAGTAATTAGTGTTTGCAAAGTTCTAAGAAGTAGAAGTCCTAAATTTCAGTCACCAGGATCAAAAGAATATGAAAAATTCTGTTACAGAACTTCTCTAAATGTCCCCAAGTATACACAGCCTTTGATCAAATGATCAAGATGGTTCTGATACCATTAC